GTCTAGAAGGCCCCCCAGATTACACACTGGGTCTGTCTGGGGCAGTGCTACCCCATCCAGCACAAAAGATGACAAAGTCCTGGATACAGAGGAGCCATTTTAAGTGAGCTACTATACCTATTGCCCATCTTTATCAACCCTAAGTATTGTACTGCAAATATTCCCTTTAAGATGAGTGGACTTCAACTCCCAGAATTCCCCAGCCAGCATCTTAAAGTGGCCAAGTTTGGACAACACTGGCCTAATGGTTTAGTAGCTTCCAGAAAATCCTCAGTTTATACTGCAAAATGGAACCTTTGCTACAGTACACACTCACATTTTGAAGCTCCCTATATGGAGGTATACGGGTGATGAATGTACTCATCAGGTTATAAGATTATATAATTTTTTTTCCTTGTTTGGCTAAAAGAAGATTAAGAAACCTGCTGAAATTTACAAGTCCGATTCAGGCAATTAGAAAGAATCCAGGATGATAAAACTCCTTCCTTTTGAAGCAAGATCCCATGCCAATTAAATTTAGGGCGAATTTAGTTGAAGTGATGTCTTGTTTATACTAGGCACATTTTCTGGCTTTTTAATAAAATTTAATAAAATAAGCGATAGTACATTTGCCTTGGTGTCCTGCTTATATGGTTGATTGTGTGACTGGCCACAATTGGGAACAGAACCATTGGATTAGCTCACCTCTACAGTGATCTAGTAAGGCTGTTCTATTTCTTGTTATCTGAGAAATATATTCTTTTAAAAAAAAGAATGTAAGAAAATTTAAAATTCCGTCTTTCTTTAATAGGTTTTCTAGCAACATCTTTATCTTGTTCTCAGTGTTCTTCCTTTGCACATTGTTGGGTTATGAACTAGATTTACAAAGGTCTCTGGAGGATTAAGATGAAGGGGATGAAATCTTTAGGAAATGCTTCTTCCTTGCTTTATTTGACATGAACACATTAGGTCAACTTTCATCATGGAACACTGCATTATGTAGAAGTTACTACATCTATGTGTTTATCAGCAGTTGTAGTTGAATGTCAGATCAGAATTCAGTCAACTAGAACTCTTCGTTGGCAGTAAAGTTTCTGCTCTTTCAGTTCAGTGGCAAATGCTAGTTACACTAAATATTAACACAACTCAATAGTGTTTCACGTAGTGGTGGTTTCTAAAATGGTAGTCCCCATTTTGGTAGTTACTGTGAATTGAATGTAATTATATGGGTGGGTCAAAAGGACATCATGAGCAGAAAGACTATGCAGCACAAAGTAACTTAAACAGGCTGCCATTGGCAGTTTTCACTCTGACCACAGTTTTATAGATACTCAGTTTGCGAATCAGAATGAGCCATTTTGGGATTATGCCCAAGAAAACTCAGCATCAATGCCTCATGATCCGATACTTAAATACAAAGTTAGGGATGTGAAAAAATGTCCTCGTGCTGTATTTAAATATCAAAATTGAGTTACTGCACTTTAAAACTCTAGCCTTACCACATCCACGTACAGCCCTAATTCCCATGGATGCCTAACATGTTAATGATGCGTATATAACAAAGCTGGGCAACTTCTGTTCTTGGAGCCACATGCAAACCAAAGATATAAAGGCAGTCTAAGAGACCTTGCTATGCTTCCCATCACCAGAAGATCAACATGATCACAAAAGAAACAGGAAATAGATGAATTATTTCTTTCTGATATTAATGGCAGAAGGCCAAGCAGCTTGGTGTCTGCTAGCTGGTTCATCACCTGAGAGTGAAAACGCACAATGTTCAGGAGCGGGTTGAATTACACATGAATATATGCCTGTGTACTGTATGTGTCTCTGTGTGTGTAAAGTTACCACTATACACATGCATGTTTCCCATGTGTACTTAGATATACCCCAACCCTTGAGGCTAAACATGTCATATTTTGAATTTCAAATAGTTACAACTCAGTTTTAGCCATTTAAACCAAGCATATAAAACCAGAGGCATCTACAGAGCAGAACCCTGGAGTAGAAATTTAGGACTGTTTAATATAATGAGCAAGAAGACCTTTTCCTCCATGTAGCTGGGGTGATTTAGCACCCTTTGAAATAATTCCAGACGCTGTATTTGGTCAACCTCTAGAGAATATCTTTTACTAGAAAAACTTGAATTAAAATTACTTAATTGCACATTTTTCCATAATAAAGCTTTACTTCTAAATTCCACCTTCCTGAAGAAATGATCATGCCTCATGAATACTGTTTATTATAAATATTAGTAACGTGGAATATAATGGCACATTCCTTTTTGGAGTGGGAGGCAGAAATGTAAGTAATTTTTTATGTATTAGTAGCAATAAAGTTAGGCTAGTTAATGTTCAGAGTTTGAGAAATCTTCAGGGAAGATATTGAAAGGATGAAACAAATTTGTATTTCTTATTTTGAATGCCACCTTGCCTCTGGTTCTAGACGAAAATTATGGAGGAAGCCAAGATGTTGAGGAAGTAAGGGGAGACAGTGTAATCAAATTATGGTGTGGAGGAGTAGACAGTTCTAATAGACTTCCCATTTGATAGCCCTCTTAGCTATTCCTTTCAGAAGGCCACTGGAGGGAGAATACTTCTGACTAAAATTAGAATAGATAAGACTTCCTGACTTCATTCTTAAGTCTCCTCATAGTAGGAACAATGTAGAGTAATGGTTATTAAGTATCTGTAACGAAAAAAAGAGGTCTTGTAACACAGTGGGTACACCTATTGAAGGTTCTGTGTTGGGAATGCAGTAAATACATTGACATTATAACTTTTTTTTAAAGGTCAAGCATATTTCTGAAGACCCTCCTTGTAAATGCCCTAGTAAATTTTGTGTGGAGCGCCTTTCACAGGGAAGGTACAGAGTTGGAGAGAAGATCCTTTTCATCAGGGTAAGAAAAAATTACTATTCCTTTTGTGGAGAGACATCTGGTAAGTAAGCAAACGAATCAGAGAAATAATCATGAAAGAACTGTTTGGTGATGTATGTTATTGTAAAGAGCTATGCAGGAGCAGATAAAACAGGTCTACATTCATATGCTGGCGCTCTGTCAGGGTTAAAGAGATCACGAGCAGGATGCCCTCTGAGAGGGATCACTCACTCTCCTCAACACTTGATTCCCCAGGATTTTTTCTCTCTGTCCCATTCACTCATCTTCTCCCTTCTCATTCTTCCCATCCCTCCCCCCGCCCTGCCCCTCAATCAGGTCATAGTACTGCTGCTGTTCTTTTATTTAAAAAGGCATATGTGGTAATGAGTTTGGGGGACTTTCAGGGCCAGCCTACCACCTGTGCTATATGAAAAACAGACTGAAATAAGTGTTTTGTTCAGATTATATTCTCAATGTGATTGCTGTGATTATCAAGATCTGCACACTTCTAGGCATGTTTGGTTTTAGAAAATTGTTTTCTCATCAAAAAATCACAGCATCAGCCAGTGGCATACTGTTGCTGTATTGTTGACAAGGAAACAATTTAGACACATCCATTAAATCGCCAAGCACTGAGCTCAGTTCAAGGGAGAATTTGTTTTACTTATGCATCCATTCATTATTAATCCACTGTTGCAAGATATCCATTTCTAGATCCTACTATACTTGTGAGGAAAAGTAAAGGTGAATTTGGGCTTAAATGCCTGGTGACTACACAGATACAACCATACAGTTTTCTTGGCACTCCACAGATTATCCTTCCTGTTGTTTTTTTTAAACTTCTCATTTACTACTTTAAAAGTTGAGAGTGCAAGCTTTCAAGGGTCTGTTAGGGAAAAATGGAAACAGCTATCCATACTACTCCTATTGGATAGAAGTAGATTGGAGAGAAGGTAATCCCATAGTGAAGTTTGTGGTGGGTTGTACACATAGTGTATGTGTGTGTGCACAGATGTGTGGGGGTATTAAAAAGAAACAGCAAATGTGTTTCACTTGCTGAAAAGCAGTTCTACTGCTTTAGAGATTCCAATTCCTGTCAGTCCAAAAGCTGTCCTGGAACAGCTTGTCGTGGTTAATCAGTGTTTAAAAGAAAGAACAGTAACAACACTCAAAAGAATTCTATTTTTTATTACTCCTGAAAATGTTTCAGGTTTACATGTTGTACTGAAAATACTGAGAAAGCAGTCTGTTAATCCAACTCCCCTCATCCCATTTCAGCTATGTATGAAAGTAGTGATCCTACCTCTGAAGATTATTTTCAGGCAATATTATTTTTACAAATCACATAAGACTACATTTCTTGAGATGTCATTTCAAATCAGCCAAAGTGTGTTGTAGAAGATAGTACAAATGAGTGCTGTGCTGAAAGACTAAGCCTTTGATATATGACATGTCATCTGCACATACTATGCCTTGTGCAAAACGTAGTTGCAAATAAATTTCATCT